AAGCAACCTTACTTTCTCTATATATATGTCTGCTAATTGCTTTTAATTGTCTTGTTCAAAATTGCAAATACAAATGCAGAGATATATCAAATATGTGGATTCTGTCTTTCCATAGTTAACAATGAATTAATTCGCACAACTGTCTAGGGACAACAGTAACAGTAAGGTAGGATCCCCATATTACAATCTCTGTGCCATTTACCTGTTGTATAGTTCTTATACCATCTGAAATTGGAATTAAAACAGTGGCATATGAAAAAAAATTGCAAACAATTTGCACTAAACATTGTTATTTTATCCTTGAAACTTAATAGTGAATTCTCAGTAAAATTATGGGATTGCCAAAATCGCATTCTGAGAAATTTGAGGAAACATAGGGGAAAGACACCCTGTCTTCAAAGGGTGCAAGGAGGTCTAGGACTGGTCAGACTCATATATGTAAGGAAAAACTCAATACTTGGTAAGCGCTCAATCTGTTTATAAATAGAAAGAATGTGTGTTTATTAAAAATAGGGGTGTGCAAATACGCTCTGTTTTCGTTCAGTTTTCATTTTGAATTTTGGGTGTCTCCCATTCTGTTTTTGGGAAGATCCCAGAAGATAAGGAAGGGGGGCATTGGGATTTGTAATTTGGAACCCTGAGTTCAGTTTCAGTTTCAGGAAGAATCTTCCCAAAAACAGAACAAAAACAGAACAGAATTCTGTTTTAGGGCTGTGCACGCCCCTAATTAAAAGTAAGTCAATTAAGACCAGCCTGATCTTCTTTGATTATTATTCTAAAAGATCATGGGGAAGAATGGACATAGTATGACTCATTTTAGGGGGGAAAATGTCCACGTCTCCAAGGATATCTTGTTGGCAAGATGGCAGAATGCAGGCTGGGCATACTACTTGTTGAGGGGACTTGCAGTTGATTGAAGAGCCACATGCACACTGGTCCTGAATACCCCAAGGACTCTTTTTTAGGCTATTGTTCAATATTTTTACAAATTACTTGGATGTGAGTGTAGATGGCATGCTTAACAGGATAGGAGGTAATGAAAGTAGAAGATATGATAACAGTCTTTAAAGATGTGTAAATCTGTGATGGGGAAGATAGAGATGATATGTCTTTTTGCTCCAGAGGGCAAGATAAAAACTAATCCATGAAAATTAGGTGGAAACTATTTCAGATAAACATTAGGAGAAACCAAATTTCAGTGGTGTTCACTGAAAATGAACAAAATCTTGCCTCCAGTATTGAGAAACAAAAGAATCAAGAATGTAAGTAATGAACAGTAATGAGGAAGTCCTCAGGCAGCATGCAATCAAGGGCTAGTGATAGCTTAAAGGCAATAATTCCCCCATTGGTCAGAAGTTTAGAATAGTGAATATAATAGCATACTGATGCCATCCATAAATAGACAGTGGTAAGATAATCACAATTTTCTTTTGGTATGCTTTCATTATTGTTTTTAAGTCTCATTGGGTTGTCTCTCACTGGTGGCAAGTCTATCCTAGGATTTCCTTGGCAAGATTTATTCAGAAGAGGTTCCCCCTTACCACCCTCTGTGGCTGACAGTGTATGACTTGCCCAAGGCCACCTAGTGGGTCTCAATGGCTGTTCAGAATTTGAATCCTTGTCTCTCTTGAGTACTAGTCTAACACCCAAACAAATATTCTCTTATCCAATTATATGCTTTGCACCATAGTCATAAAATGTGATGCTTAAATACTTGGAAGTGAATATTTATGGTAGATTGGAGCTGCCGTCGCCAGTAAGAATTGACTGTGTATATGATGCTGTCCTATCCTCCTGTCAATATGAGTCTTGCGTAGTAATAATGCCTAATTTGTTCATTTTGTTTTTCTTTTATCAGTCAACTCAGTGGCAAAGGAAATGAAGAGTTTAAACATTAGCAGCATTTTTAAAAGCTGACTGTTAAAAAAATATGACTCAATTTGATGGATTTTTTTTCTTTTCTTTTTTCCAGACTAGCATTAATAGTATGATGAGTGTATATAGTGAAACTGGGGACTATGGCAACGTGAAGATCAGTGGTGAAATTTGTCTCCAGATCACCTACAGCTATAAAACAGGTGCCCTCAACATCCTTGTAAAAAAATGTAAGAACTTGGCTGTGGCAGATGAAAAGAAGCACAGAACAGATCCGTAAGCTGACAGGTTTCTCCTTTAACCTTGTATTTTATTTTATTTTTTACATTTTGGTCATGTTTGCTCTGTAAGAGAGGACATGGGAATACAAGAGATACACAGATATCCACAAGTTTACTTCATAAGAAAAATATTCCTGAATCTCTGACAAGGAAGACATCCAATAGCCTGATAGGTTTCCTGATATGTTCTCAGTAATATTTTGGTTTGCAAAAGAAATTTCCCCCATCTCTCTTATTTTTTACAACCCACACTTGAGGTACATGTATGCTCTAGAATTAAGGCTCAATGCTATGGAATCCTGGAAGTTGTAGTTTTATGTCTTTCGCTCTCTCTATCATAGAGTGCAGCTGCTTCACCAATTACAGACCCCAGAATTCAATAGCATTCACCTATGTTACTTAAAGTGAGGTCAAACGGCATTAGTTCTATAGTGTAGCTGCACCCTTGGAAAGGGATAAGACTCTGATATCTACCTGCCCCTGTTTACCTGCAAAATGGCATACTGAAGCTTTTTCTCACTTGCGCTGCATATTGAAAAACATAAATAAAGACAAGTATCCCTCCAAGTCAATTATTCTGCAAAATGCAGTGAAACTTAAGAGAGGAGTGAAGTAGTTCTGAAAATCAAGTAAGCCATGGTGAAGCTTTTGCTCACAATTTCCAAACCTTGTCTCTTACGTTTTAACCCACAAGAAAGTTGGAAGCCTTTCAATTTTAAGGAAATCACAGTCCTCTAGGTAGCCTTTCTTTCTGGGAATTATGGCTTATTTAACATAAGTGTGGGCAAGTATTGGGTCACCCAGTTTTTGTTCCTCCAATAGCTTGGAAAACTGCAACACCACGAAATTGACCATAAATCCACCATAATTCCGATCCCAAGTGACCAGAAAATTACTTATAGTTTACATTTTCAGGATGTGTGTGTGTGTTTTGGGAACACAAATCATGAGTCTCCTGGACCTGGAAGTCCTTCACCTGGATTGGCAGCTGACCATTCTGGTATGCTTTTTAGCCATCCTTCTCAATGAGGGAGGCTTAGTCAGGACTGGAGTTGCAAAACATTGAGAGGCTACATCCTTCCCTTGGAACACATTTTTCTCAGTCCTAGTTTAAATAAGAAAAAGTTAGACCAGAACATTTTTCTCAAGCCATTGGTTGCATGAGTTTGGCTATTGTAGAAAGCTGTGGTTAGTTTAAGAATGGGAACAGCAGATTTTAATTGCCCTCCTGGCATAAAGGACAGGAAAGGGAAAGTGAAGCAAATGAATTCAAGTGTGATTTCCTCTCTCCCAGGCTCTTTGGCAAGTTTTGGCAGGTGGAGGATTAATTAAACCGCATTGTGGTTTTTAAAAAAGCAAAAAGCAGCAGGAGTCTTGCTCTTTTCCAATTTTCCTGTAACCCTTCTTAAAGAAGAGAGATCTCTACTGCTCTCTGATTTCTCTCATATGTAAAGGTGTTGAAGCTATGTGCATATTTGTAGTGATGGCATATATAGTTGTATTTTTTAAGTATGTCTCTGTCTCTTTCCCCCTTACTTCCTGACATTATCTGTGTTCATGGCACTGAGACTGCAAAGGTACAGTCAGTCCTCTATAGTCTTGTGGGTTAGGGGCACAGGACTTCTGTGAAAGTGAAAAACTGAAAATAAATTGTTTGGGTTTTTTTTCACCTGAGATAACACCTCTCTAGGAATTTCTGGGTTATCCAGCATGATCCTATGGTTAACTTCTGATAGAAGCTGGCCATAGAATAACATTGGATGACCTAGTGATTCCAGAAAAGTATTCTCTTTGGCTATTTCTAGGTCCTCCAATTTGACTGGAGGAAGTTGATCCGAGAATCACATTGGAAGGCCTAGATATTCCCAGAGAGAATGCTTCTAATCAAATCTGCGAAGAACCAAATTCATAAAGTCAAAATTAGAAATCTAGAGGGTCAACTGAATTGTATCTTTCAAACAATGTAAGAAATTGGGCTCATGTGACTGTATGTTACTTTTGACACGTATACACATATATCCATATATATCCATCTTCACACACTCATTTTTCTTTCACATGCTTTTTCGTCTATGCCCAGGAATTTTAAAAAATAGAAGAAGATTCATATCAATCAGCACTCACCTGGAGTCTGTAGCAGCACAGCCTATACAAATGTTAATCTGCTCAGGGAGAACTGTCCCTAAACTAGAGTACCTGAAAGCATAAATACAACTATTCCACCTTCCTGTGCATATCAAATGACTTAGTTTGTTTGTAGGATTACAGTCATGCTGCAAGAATTTCCTTTCTGTGTGCAACATTGGAGTATTTTGTAGTTTCTGTCAATGATTTCCTATCTACGTTGCAGCTACGTCAAAGCATACCTTCTGCCAGACAAGTCTCGCCAAAGCAAGCGCAAGACAAAGATCAAAAGTAACACCACTAATCCAGAATTCAATGAAATGCTGAAGGTGAGGTCTAGGACAGAGTCATATATCACACTTCCTTTGTGATCATCTGATTTAGTATCAAATCAAATACTGTCTTGAAACATGAAAGATGATTGAGATTAAACATGGGGCTAGAATTGCAAGGAACAGATCACTGATTTAGAAAAGAAATCACTCCCTGTCTATTCTCTCTCTCCCAACTTTATCCTCCTTACACTCTATTTATTTGGACATGTTATTTCTACTCTTTTTTCGACTGTAAAAGAACAAGAATTGTATTGACTTTTATGACTCACCCTCCTAAAAAAATTCCCCAGTGGATATCTGAACTGATTCCAAGCTTAGAACAGCATATATTTTCTAATATTCCTGTATGGCAATTTTAAGATTTTATATATGTGTGTGTGTGTGAGAGAGAGATAATATTATTACAGTCAGGTAGCCCAGTTATCAGAATTTTGGAGAATTATTTCACCAGTTCTTGGTTTTATTGTTTAATAAAAGCAATATTTAAAAAATCTACTTAATGTGTGTTTGGTTTCAGAAGTAAGGCTTTATGTCCGCAAAAACTCCTTTTACATTCTGAAGAGTCTCTTAGATGTCTCTGAGCTCCCTAGATCAGGAATAAACACTGTTAAAAATTCTAGGAGCTGTTTTAGACTTTACAGCTGGATTTACATTGCCAAAGAATGCCATCTGAACTGCATTATATAGTCAGTGTAGACCAGGCGTGGGCAAACGTGGGCCATCCAGGTTTTTTGAACTTCAACTTCCAGCTGTTAGGAATTGTGGGAGTTGAAGTCCAAAACACCTGGAGGGCCCAAGTTTGCCCATGCCTGGTGCAGACCCATATAATGCAGTTTGAACTGTATTGAACTGTGTTATATGGGTCTACACTGACTGTGTAATGCAGTTTGAACACCATAATATGGCAGTGTTTATCCAAGTCATGATCCAAAGAATGTTTGATTAAATACCAGTGACAGAAATTAAGGGACAAAACCATCAATATTTTATCTTGATTTCAGAGTAATTTTGTTTGTACTCCTCTCCCCCCCCCCAAAAAAATATAGACAAACATGAAAGATTAGTTTCAACACCTGCATAATTGGCAATAACAAAATAATTTGGATTCTTGTTTTAAAAAGGAAGCTCAATCTGTTTTAATCAGTCTGATACAGAAACAGGCAGCAGCAAGAAAAATAGGCTTTCAAGAAGAGAAGTGCATTGACTAGATCTGTCCCTAAGAAGAGCCTTTACTGATTGATTAGGTCTGTTTTAGCAAAGAGGGGAAATGCTTTTTCAGTACGTTGTTTATCAGCCACTTGCACCTTCTATACTAAAAGGCATTACAACTCCAGTCCTTTCAGTGTATGGGGCAATAAATTCTTATCATGCAAACATGTTCATCTTTTGTCATTTCACAGTATGTCATTAGCCATACACAGCTTGAGACTCGGACTCTACAGCTTTCTGTCTGGCATTATGATAGATTTGGGCATAACAGCTTTCTTGGAGAAGTGGAGATACCTTTAGACTCCTGGAACTTTGAAAATCAGGCAGATGAGTGGTTTGTACTTCAGCCTAAGGTGAGCATGTCCCAGTTGACTGATACCTGAACCATATGCTTTAATTTACATGGAACACATTGTTTTATGTTGGGAGTTGCTTTATGAATTGCAGTTTGAACCCATCTGTTCACTGGAGAACAAATATTAGCAAATGGCTATTGGGATTAAGAACTAGAAAAACCTTTGCAATGTTTGATCATTGTTTTGTGTGTGTTTGCTGTGTGAGTAGTTATCTACTTTGAGAGCATCAATTAGATGTACTGTGGTTCTGGCCCAGTGAAGCCATTCTTCAGGTTTTGAAATAAAATCAATTGTTGCAAAAGCAGGGGTAAGGATGGGTTATATGTATCATGCTATCACTGCCAGAAGACTAAATGCCTCTCAAGTTACTTGGCACAGTCAAATTCTTCTGCAGCTGTTTTGGATTATCAGGTTTTTCCTGTTGCGATAGCCAGCATTTAAACCATTTCTATACCAGTTTGACAACAAACTGGGATTTTGAACTTGAGCTGTCCAGTTTAGATTTGCCTGAACATTTCACCATGGAAACATATTGTCACAATGGATATTTTAATTTCATGAGCAATATCATAGATATCAAATTTTATATTACTGTATTTTGGTAGTTTTCTGAAAGTCAAAGTGTGGAACTTCAACAAGAGACCACATTTTAACTGAGCACTATTATTTAAATATAACTCGTATGTGCTATTCTGGTAATTCAACTTCCATAATGCTCTTCTTCCATCCTACCATGTTAAAGTAGTAGTGGAAAGTATAAAAAAGAAACACAACCTGTTTCTACTAGTCATCAGAATGTTTCTTTTTATAAAAACTTAAGGCAATTCTATGATCTTTGGGAGTGTTTTGGTTTACCTCCATGCAGGGCCGTAGCCAGAAAAAAAATTCGGGGAGGGTTGACAATTTCGGGGGGGGGGGGGGTTGAAAATTTGGGGGGGGGGGTTGAAAATTTCGGGGGGGTTGAAAATTTGGGGGGGGGTTAAACCAGCCTCCTAGCTCACGCTGAAGCAAAGAGCACAGCAGGGGGAAGAGCAGCCTTCAATAGCCTGCAGCTCCACCCCTGTCAACCACCTCCACCAAGTCTGGCCTCCTTAATGAGAGCATTCAACACACACACACACACCCAACTTGGTTGCTTCACTACATCGGCTATTGCTGCAAGTAATGACAGTGTGAATAAATTGTCAATATTTGCTTGAGATAGTGCTTACAGGTCTGGAGGGACTCTTAATTTTTTGCATCTCATAGACTTAGCATGGGGATTTGGTTAACCAGTTAAAATTCATGAGTAAACCAGGTTTTTTAAAAAAATCTGAAACATTTCGGGGGGGGTTGAACCCCTAAAACCACCCCCTCGCTACAGGCCTGCCTCCATGTCGTATCACAAATACTGGATGATGTGCTCTTCCTCAGTGTCAACCCTGCTCAAGAGGGGAAAAATGCATTTTGGGAAAATGATGGTGCAACTTCAGGGGCAACTTCAGATCCATGAGGACTTAAACCTCTCTTATTTCTCAGACTTTCAGAATCCTTCCACTCCTTGATCGCTCACTACAATCTCCATGACTTGTTTATACATTTTAAATAGTTAGGAGGAAAAGATACATGAACTTCAACAGGACATTCTTCTGTTTCATTCTTTCAGATGGAGGTTGCAGCTGACACTGGCCTTCAGTATAAAGGAGAATTGATAGTTGTCTTACGATACACCCCTCCTGAGAGGAACCTAACACTTCCATTAGGAGAGACTCAAGGTAAAATAAACATTGATCCTAGCATCTAGCATTTTCTCTCTCTCTAGGTAATTGCAATTCACCATCTTGTGGTGCAGACATAAGCCATAAAATTACTAGACTGTAGAAGATTAGAATTGCTGACTACTCGATTAGTTACCAATCTCAAAAGAAATTTCAAATCACAGATAGTTTTATTTTTCTGAGTATTCAGGACCCAGATGTACTCCTTGGAGAGGATGTAGGATTCATCAGCTTTCCTAAATAATTCTGAACTGATTTATCAGCTGTCATTATGCAGTCTTTTGTTATAATTTGATTTTCATATTGGCTGAGGAGGCCATTGCATGCAGAAACTTGCAGACACATGCTAATAGTGTCTACAGAAAGTAGAAAAACTATTTTTGTATAGAAAGGTGTATATAGTTTTGTACATAAACTCTTGCTGACTTTGTGCAAGTAATTGGTGCAGACCACATTATATCCTGATTTTGTTAGTCTTTCTCTTTCTTAAACATCTCTTGTCATCACATACATATTTTTAATGTTAGTTAAAGTTTAGTTTGTTTAGATCCCCTTTTCAGTGTCTTTTAAAATGCATGTACTCAATTCATTGTGCTAGCAGCCACTTTCCTTTCAAACTCCGTACAACCAGCCTTCATAATTACTTAGCAAACCAATAATCTTTTTATTTTGGAAATGGCATCTTATTTATTAAGATGGGTCTTCTTAAAGGGAGATGCACCACATTTCCGTGATTGAGAGAGTGGGAGAACAAAGCTTTGTTTATGTGTGAGCAAATGGGTAAATGCTGAAAGAGAGATTATTTGGAGAAAACCCCTCTTGGACAAGAGACAAAATGTGTGTCAGTCTCATAAGTTGGAAACAATTGGAAGGTTCGCAAGAACAACAAAATACAGAATATCTAAGCATTAAAGTTTATCAAACTATTGTGGAAGTTGGTACACATTTAATTGTCTTTAATTTATTCAAGGAAAGAAGAGTTCTAAGAAAGCAAGGAAGTCTAGCTCACAACTGCTGTCAGGAGGCATATTAGAAGTTATCATCAAGCAAGCCAAGAATTTAATGGCTGTGAAGTCAGGAGGAACCTCTGACACATTTGTGAAAGGGTAATTTCTTCCATCTTGATTTCTGCTTAAAATGCCAGTGGATGTTGTATTTTTCCCCCCACTGAATTTTTTTAACCATTTCCCCACCACTGGAAGCAGGTAGGGAAAGTGAAAGAGGTTATTCCTTCACTCCCTTCTGTTGCTTTTTAATGTTTTAAAATAGGAAACCTACTCTTAGATCTAGTTTTTCATTGTGACTACTTCTCTAAACCAGGTGTTCTCTTTGTCAGGCGTGAAGCTCCTTTTGAAGCAAAAGTTTACTGTGGAACCTCAATGTCTATATTTTATATTATATACTGAGATATATATATATATATATATATATATATATATATATATATATATATATATATATATATCCACATTGTATTTTAAAATTTGACAGACAGGCTGGGCCAGTGGCAGATGGATGGAGAGTGTCCAGTAAGAGGTGTTGCCCTAATATTTTCTTTTTCCACCACCATGTCCCATTAGGCTCTAATGAATATCTCTTCCTAGTTATAATTGTAGTGACATCGTAACAAACATGTAATCTCCTCTTGTTTTCTTCCTATTTTCTCTTAGATACCTCCTTCCAGACAACAATAAAGCTTCCAAACACAAAACCCATGTAATAAAAAAGAGTGTTAATCCACAGTGGAACCATACCTTCACTTTTAGTGGCCTGAATCCAAGAGATATACACAATGTTTGTGTAGAACTCACTGTCTGGGACAAGGAGTCCCTTTCCAGCAATATCTTCCTGGGAGGCGTTCGCCTGAATACTGGAAGCGGTAAGATCAGTAACTGAACTGGATAGGAGCTGTTGCTTTCTTTTCCTTGGTGTGTAAGAAGTTGTTGGAATGAAAAAAAAAATACTGCTACAAGTTCATTTCAAGAGCTAGTTAATTTACTATTGGATGATGGGTCTTAACCCTCACCCCAGAACTCAGCTTTTAGCCTTTAAACCAGAGGCTGAAAATGTTTAACTAACATACCGTATATACTTGAGTATAAGCCGACCCGAATATAAACCAAGGCACCTAATTTTACCACAAAAAACTGGGAAAATGTATTGACTTGAGTATAAGCTGAGGGTGGAAAACACAGCAGCTTCTGGCAAATTTTAAAATAAAAATAGATACCAATAAAATTACATTAATTGGGGCATCAGTAGGCTAATTTTTTGAATATTTACATAAAACTGTAATTTAAGATAAGACTGTCCAAATTTGATTGAATCATTATTCTAACCTTCAATGTAAATGTGCTAATTATCCTTCCAATAATCACCATAGTTTATTTTAACGATACATTTTGGGGGCACTGCTATGTGTATATGAATAAAGAAAAGTGGGAAAGACTGGCGCTGAAAGAGGAGGAGAAGAAGATGTGTGCTGCATGAGAGGGGAAGGGGAGCTGGGTTGCTGTGCGGAGAGGTGAGGGTCCTGGCTGGAAAGTGTGGGGCTGAAAGAAGCCTTCCAATATAGAGAAACCTTCCAGTGCTATTGCAGTACATTTCATTTTTACACCAGAGTTCACCAAATAAGAAATGGGAGTAATACTTCCCTCTCATTGTGTCCTTACACAGAACATAAAACCTGGTGCATTCCCATTAATAAAATGCATTTGCTACTTTCACATCCCTTATTTGAACAGCAGAACATTTTGATTTTGGGACCTTTTTTCTCTAATGGAAAGAATAAGAATAGTAAGTGAACCTGAAGGAACTGTAAGGAACCTGAAGGAACTTACAGAAGGAAAAATCAAAGTTTTTAAATTGGATAGAATTGATTTTGTATTTTTCTCTTAACCCTCCAATATGTTGACTATTGCCATTTTATTATTTCCAGGGATAAGTAATGGCAAAGAAGTGGACTGGATGGATTCTCAGGGGGAAGAGCAGCTTCTTTGGCAACAAATGATTGATTGTCCTGGAGATTCTGTAGAAGGTGTTTTAATGCTGAGATCTAGCATGGGAAAACGCAAACTCTGAGAGAAATGCTATTTGTATAAGATTCACTCCAGGTATCTTGTGTACATAATAGTGCCATGAACTCTAGACCTACAGTGGAGCACCTTCTGTAATAATTTGCACATGTAAAATAGGAAAGACAAATACTTATTCAACACAGACTTTAAAGCTCCTGCCATGAACTATAAAAGCATTTAGCACTTTCTTACATAAACATTGTGCCACTTTTTCGGCTTTGCCCAACAGAATTTGGCAATGCCGCTTGGGAGACTGGATTTCCCAGGTACTATTCAGTCACTGGAATAAAATCCTCTAAAATGCCTCAATGAACATAATTTAAACAGTTCTTCTTAAGTTAAGATTGTTTTAACATGTATTTTCTCATTTAAAATGTGTAATTAATAGTCTGAGTTAGGGCACTCAAAATGAGCTAAGGGATGAAGGGGGTTTTCAGATTTCAGGCAACCTGCAAGAACAATTACTTTTTGGCTGTAATTATTTCCTACTCCCATGTCCAAGCTCCTGCAGACTCATTTCCATAAATGGTTCCCAGTTGTGGGCTCGCTAATGAGCAATACATGAATCTTTCTGTGCCTAACTTACAAGCAAAACTGCTGTGTGTGGGTTTTTTAGAGACCAGCTGCTATTGCTGGAATACAAAATGGCAAGAGCCCCCTAAACATCATTAGTGGTTCACAGAATCTACTGAATACTGGCACTTGAGATATATGTGTGTGTGTGTGTATATATATATATATATATATATATATATATATATATATATGTTGTTGTTCATTTGCTCAGTCGTTTCCGACTTTGTGACCTCATGGACCAGCCCATACCAGAGCTCCCTGTCAGCCGTCACCACCCCAAGCTCCTTCAGAGTCAAGCCTATATATATATATATATATATATATATATATATATATAGTTGCAAGCAAACAAGCAAACCAGACAAATTGTTGCTGTTACATTACAATGTCTTATTCTGAAGATACGAAGTTTAATCCATTGAGAACAATAGCTGAGATCCTAAATTGCTATAGTCCCCACTCATCATCCTCGAGACTCACAGTTTTACTACAGTAGACACACACACCCCATCATCCTTTAAGGTGTTGGTGTGATCAGAGAATTGTAGGACTACGCCCTATCTAGATGCAGACTGATAACACCTTTTGCTGAGATCTGCCAGGATCTTGGGATGATGTGATCTAGGAGTATTGGGCCAAGAAGCCCAGCCAGATGCCTGTCAGTTCAGGGGGTCTTTCACAGTGAAATTGTGAACTGTGTTGGAGAGTATTGGTCACTGCAGGTGATGGAAGAAAATACAAGTCCCCACTGCAACCAAGATACGGACTTATTCTTGCATATGTTACAAACAGTCTGTGATGTTATTGAAGGAGAAGAACTCCAATGGAAGAATATTATACTGTGATGATAAACTGCACTAAGAGTTGTTTTTCCTAATCATTGTACTAATTCTACCTCCCTATTATTTGAAAATATGGAATGATCAAATGTTCCTCTCCCCCTTAAATCTTTTTAAGCATTTGAAAACTAATAATTTTAGTATCATTGCTCTCGTCCCCTTCTCTGTTTGTTCCTTCAGACTCTTTTTGATTTGACTTGTCTTTTATATAGGCTGTAAAGCAACTGCTACTTAAGGAATGACACACGTAAAGGATCTGAAGTCCTGCCTTCACTTACCTAACTTCTTTATTCATAAAAATACATTACACTGAGCCATTTACCATGACTCCATCCACTGAAACTTCCCACCGGTGGTGATTTTTGCCTAGTGAAGAGATTAAGAGGGTTACAGAAGCATCCAGACATGTTCTCATAGCTAGATGTGTAACAATTGCATCAACCAGTGTCAAATGCATCTGACCACAAGGGCACAACCAGATGGTGCTGTGATCCCACCCCTGGTCACTCTTTTCCAGGTATGAATGACCATAGGTGGCAGACTTCAGCAACTATAGGCAATCTCCCAGTTACAAACATCTGACTTACAAGTGACTCATAGCAGGCATGTAGCCAGGGGGGCTTTGGGGGCTTCACCCCCCCCCCCGAAATTCTCATGGTGGTCTGTGAAAAGGCCTAACTGGTACATTATTTAGACTGTTACATTTATTCATATCATGATCTGATCACCATGCTCAATATAACTCATATGCATGGGAGTATTGGGATAACGATACAAAAGGTTTGCTAGGGTAGACCCTCTTTCACTCAGACTCAGCCCCCCCCCCCCAAGTCAAAATTCTGGCTACGGGCCTGACTCATAGTTAAGAAAGAGGGTGAGAGAACAGGAAGTGAGAGAAATCCACCCCTAGGAAGGGAAATTTGCTCCTGAAAGAGTTATCCTGGGGAAAAGGTGTCTGCACTGAAGCTTTATCACCAATCCTTGTTTCCACAACAAGCCAAACATTTCAAAATCCAATTCTTGCGGCGACAGAAAGTGAGGTGAAATCTTCTGAACATGGGCACAGATAGCAAAGCAAAGATCACAGGGCTGTTTACCCTTCCTTGTGTTATATCCAAAGTGCTCTCTCTCTCTCTCTGGCCCCTTCTACGCTGTCAGATAATCCCGTTATCAAAGCAGAAAATCCACATTATCTGGCTTGAAGTGGATTATTTTAGTTTACACTGCCATATAATCCAGTTCAAAGCAGATAATGTGGATTGTATATAGCTGTGTAAAAGCCCCCCCCCCCCCCAATCTATCTATCTATCTTTGGCTGGAGTTACACTTAAAGATGTACCTGTTCTGACTTACAAACAAATTCAACTTAAGAACAAATTTTCAGAACTAATCTTGTTTGTAACTTGGGGACTGTCTGTATTTGGTAGATCTGGGGGAGTGGGTGCAGGGCTTTGGTCACTGTGGAGGGACGGAATACCAGTCTCCACAATAATAAAAAGGTTAATTTATGCATGAATGTGCTGCTAACAGAACACCAGCCTAGAGTGAATTAAGTAATATAACATAGCACAACTATCCCCTGTAAATGTTTATTAAAGTTGTCAGCACCAAGGCAGGGATGCACATAATAAGACCCTTAAATATGAATTAGGCATTATAACTAATTCATGCATGGACCAAATTTGTAAAGTATCGGGGGGGGGGGGGTTTAAAAGTTACTTGAAAATATTTTGTTATTTCAAAATAACACTGCCAAAGAAAAGCAATATGAAAATAGAAACATTGTAGTAGTGGTAATGAGGCGTCATGAACGTAAATGAGTCTTTTTGCAATAGGGAGCTGCCTTACCAGATAGCAGCTGCTGGTCAGTCCTGACTTATTGGTTCCACTTGTACACTGCTCTGTATCCCAGAATCTGATCCCAGGTTATCTGCTTTAAACTAGATTATATGAGTTTCCACTGCCAGATAATCTGAGATAAGCAGAAAATCTGCCATCAGATCCTGGGATATAGGGGCAGTGTGGAAGGGGCCTGGGCAGCAGCTGCTGTGAGGGCCCTTCTACACTGCTACACCCTTCTACAATCCAGAATATAAAGACAGATAATCCACATTCTCTGCTTTGAACTAGATTATCTGAGTCTACACTGAATCCAGTTCAAAGCAGATTATCTGGATTTTATGCAGCTGTGTATAAGTGGCTTGAGTTTCAGGAGTCTGTTCTCGTTTATTGGAGCAAATCAGTCTGATGTTTCTACTCTCTACCCACAAGTGCAAAAGGAATTTCGATAAGGATTCTGCTTCTTTGGGACTAGATATTGCTTGTGGGAGTGGAATGGGAACAGGAGTCTGCCAAATAGGAGAACAGACCTAAGTGATTATGGATGTTGATGCCCAGTAAGAGGGGGTGAAGGGGCATTGGGATAGGAATGCTACTAAGTATATGTAGCTAAGTAGCTGATCTAGAAGCTTGGCCAAAAAATCAATAGATGCTTTGGGGAGAATTATATAGATCTATTGGAGCTGATACCATCAGATCCAAACTTGGGAATGTTGACTTTGTTGTTGTGTGCCTTTAAGCCATTTTTGACTTATGGTGACCCTAAGATGAACTTTCACAAGCGTTTCTTTGCTGAATTTGGCCAATGGAGGCTTGCCCTTGCCTTCCTCTGAAGCCAAGAAAGTGTGGCTTGCCCAAGGTCACCTAGTGGGTTTCCATAGCTGGGTGGGGTCTCAAATGCCAATGCCCTAATGTCTTGGCCCAACACTCAAACCAGTATGCCGTCCTGGCTAGACCCTTCTAAATCAATGGGATGTAAGTTAGTCATGGCCCCTTGTAGGTTCATTGATTCAAAATGACCTGCTCTAAATATGACTAAATATGGCTTTACTATTTCCATAGATTGAAGCTATAAAAGCCTTTGGCTTTGTAGAATTGTGCCTATATGAGGGGAGTTTATTTAATGCATAACGTGATAAAATACAGCATGTGAATCAGACTTCATTTGTAAAGCAGGTTTTTTAGGGCAAGGAACTCCATTAGTAGATGGAAGATGAAGAGCAGTGATTCATAAATAGCATGACACCAGTAGCTTGGGACCACTTCAGTGTTCAAGATGTGCTTGTTCCATTTTTATCCTGCAATTCATGCTGTAAAATGGCCTTGATACTTTGTGGTAATTGACACTATGAAATATTTGCAATTCCCCATAAGACCAGGGTTGTTGATTATGTATGTGCACAGCACCAACCAGGATTTTTTTTTGTTTTGATCTTCTTTTAAACAAATATAGGGGACCAGTAAAGGTTATTTGCTACTTAGCAGATTTTTCCTTTTCAAGTGATTCTGATTTTATGTGCTGATTCATCATGTGTTTGGGAGTACTTTGAGTACTTTGTGTACTGTTCAATAATGTCTTGCTTAAAAACCTTTGCTTTGCTGTACAATAAATCCCAGAAATCTTATTACTGATTCTATCATTTCATCTAGCTCTGATTCAGAATAAGTACAGAGTGCAGATAGTGCGGCACCTTTGAAAACATTCCTCTGCAATTATTATCACACTTTGGCATATTACCACAGAAACAGATTACAGAATTGTTGTACGTTTTTTGGGTTGTATGGCCATATTCTAAAATATTATCTTCTGATGTTTCACCTGCATCTATGGCAGGTATCCTCAGAGGTTGTGAGACCTCACAACTTCTGAGGATGCCTGCCATAGATGCAGGCAAAACATCAGGAGAGAATGCTTCTGGAACATGGCCATGCAGCCCAAAAAACTTACAACCCAGTGATTCCAATGTAGATTGCAAAATACAAAAAAAATTAATAAAATGCTAGTTTTCTAAACATTTATGACAATTATTTCATAGGAGCCACAGTGGTGCAATGGGTTAAACCCTTGTGCTGCTGACCTGAAGGTCAGCAGTTTGAATCCGCAAGATGGGGTGAGCTCCAGTCTGTCAGCTCCAGCTTCCCATGCTGGGACATGAGAGAAGCCTCCCACAGGCTCCCCCTGGGCAACGTATCTGCAGACGGCCAATTCTCCCACACCAGAAGCGACTTGCAGTTTCTCAAGTCGCTTCTGATATGATTAAAAAACACTTTCATCATTCGCCTGTTTAGGTCATCTTTTAAAAGTCTAAAGCCCAACAATTTTAATATTTGAATGATATGAAAAACATTTGTTTTGGATGATGTTGAAAGTGGAAGATAGTGGTGGTTGCGAACCTATGCCCACATATTTGGAAGAAAAATCCACTACATGCAAATGTGCTTATTTCTTATAGAAAACGTAAAAATT